GACTCCCAACAAAGGGCAGGGGCTTTCTGCTGGTACCAGACATATTGGCCACCCTCCCACCAACCTCAGCCCTGGCACTTTCCCTTGCACTGTGCCATCAGTTCACCTCTGCCAGGTGGAAGTGTACCCTTGCACTATGAGAGATCCATTTCCCTCCACCGCACTCTCAGGCCTAAGAACTCTGCTCCCTACCAGTGCACCCCAGCAAGGTGCTCTCTTGGGGTGCCAAGGCTGGAAACATCTCCATCCCGCTCTGCTAATTACATCCCCCTGTGCCTAGAGGAGATGTCTTACCCACAGAAGAGGACATCTGCTTCTGCCCCAAGACTAAGGGGGCCCACTTTGGGGTGCTCACCGTAAAACCCAGGAATCCAGCCAAGTATATGCACCCACATCCTCTCCTCAGGTGCCTAGATGTCAGAATTAAGAACTTCACAGGACCCAGAGTGGTTAGGAAGTGATGATTTCTCAAAAGGGACATTTATTAGAGCAGGACCATGCCACCCATCAATCTTGTTTGAAGGAGGTGACCCTGAACCCACCCTTCACACTCAGGTAGGAAATCTTGTCGTAACTGTGTCGGTTGGGGAACTCCAGCTCATGCCCACCTGGCAGCTTCACCTGGAACTTGTCTCCCATAAAGTAGATGAGAATCTGTGAAAAGATAAAAGGAACAGGGGAAAGGCCAGGAAGTGGGAGAGTGATTAGCACCACCATCCAACAACTGGATGCAGACATCACGGACCAGTCCCCAGGGCAAAGGCACAATGGACCCAACCCTAGTAGCCTTCACCAAGATGCTGGGAGCTGAAGTCCCCTATCATCTTGCGGGGATGGGGATGGAGGGACTAGATTGTGTATGGAAGATGAGCTCTTGTCTTTACTAGGAATCCAAGAACAACATCTCTCCACTGTTGTTAAGATAGGGTCAGCTGCTCTGGAGGGTGCCAGTGTTAGGAGCCTAGTGTAGACCACAGTCCAGTGGCCACCTCTGTTTCTAAACACTGTTTTGCTTTGACCTGTTTGAGAGGAGCAGGGCACCCCACTGAACCTTTTCTCTACCAGCTTTCCCATTGGTACAGACCCCATAGGACCTGTCCTGGGAATAGCAACAATAAGGAAATTGCATCCAGAGCCATACACGCAGCCTGAGAGGACCAGTTAATTATTTATAGAGCAATAAAGAACTAACATTGGCAAACTAACATGCCACTTCAATCCTCAACCTTCTCCTTGACCCAGACAAAGCACTGAGGGCAACACATGAAAACCATTTCTAAGCCAAGAAGTAACATGATTATGGCTAACATGCACACATTCTAAAAGGAGAGTGCCTGCTGCAGGAGAAGGAATTAGTAGAGGGAAGTTAGAGACAGATAAGGTTTGTGGGGCAGGACAGAAAGCTGGTGGTAGCTGAGTGGGAGGAACAAGGTGTATGCTCCAAGACTTGCACCTCTCCCTCCAGAGATGTGATCACCTGCAGAGCAATGGCACAGGGCACCAGGGACCCCAGGGCAGGTCACAGGCCAGATTCCAGAGGGAGCCCCCCAGTGTGGACAGAGACAGAGGCATCCAGTGGAGAAAGAGCAAGGCCTGTGGGAACTGGGACTCTGAGCAGGAAAGGAGCTTAGGAGGAGGGTTGTGGGGGATGTTGGCACAGAGAAACTGCCCCTGAAGGTGCCAGCTGGGCTGCGCAGAAGTGGGATACAGAAGTGGAGTTGCATGCCCAGCCACTGCTCCTACATCTAGGTCCCATCTGCACTCTCACCTTGACTTCCGAGCCCCTGGAGAACGGCATGTGGCCCTCACGGTGCTCCTCCTGCCAGTTGTTAGAGCATCTGGAGTTGCAGACAATGACAGATTCGTCGAAGCGAGGGTTGAAATGCAGCCCCAAGTCACCGGAACTTTTGCCAATGTTAATTTCAAATCTGTGGGAGAGGGAAATTAGAAACAGCCCCAAGAGGGTTTGCAGGGGCTGCTCAACTAGCACCCCCCTCAAGAGGAGAGGGGTGGATCTCATTGTACCCACCCCTCATGCTGTGTCCTCCATGGCCAGGGATGGGGACACACCCTTTCAGCTTTGGTCCGAGCAAGACTTTCAAGGGAGGAAAGCCAGCTGGGCAGATCCAGCACCAGACTGAGACTCAGAAAATGTGGGTTTAATTCCCAGTTCTGCCCAAGACCCCATGTGTGATACAACAACAGCTATATTACCCTCTCTGTGGCTCTATTCCCCACCTAAGAAAGAGATGAGGGTGGCCCCCACATCCTATGGGAATGGGAGCCCTGACAAGCATCAGAAAGACCTAAGGCTTAATTCCCCAAATAGTAGGCACTCCCTCCACACAGGGAAATCAGGGCACTGCCCCACTCCTGCCACCACAAGCCCTACTCATCTGACACAGCCACCTTGTGCTCACCTGTCAGTGTCATCAAAGATCTTGCCCTTCACCTTCAGGACCTCCCCAGGCTTCACATCCAGGTTGACAATTTCAAACTTCTCCTGTGGCAGAGAGAGCAAATCTCATGAGACTCCTTGAGACAGCCACTGTTCCCCATCGTGAAAGGGAATCCACCAGGACTGAGGTTCAGGAGGTCCATCTTGGCCTGTGACACTAGCTGGGAGAGGGCTCACATCCTTCCCAGGTGCCACCTCGTGGCCTTGCCCCCTGCACACCAACATAGCTGTGCCTCGGGTCCTTGCTTGGGCAAGGGAACACAGTAGTTCTGGGCAAGGAGTGAATAAATAAGTGAGAAAAGGCATGAGAGAAGGCAGAGAAAACTTGAGAGCAGAACAGGCAAGAGAGAGAGGCCATGAGTGAGGAGAGGAAAGCGCTAAGTGCCTGACAGAGGGGAGATGTGGCACTCCTTACAGACATCTTCTTCGGTGGGGAGGCAAGATACAGCCTGGAAATGCTGGCAGTCCAGAATATGCCTCACCCAGGGGATCACAGACCTCAGCTTCCCCAAGCGTTACACATTAACACACCACGTGACTCTGATTCAAACCATAATTGACTCTTCTTCACTAGAGAATACAAAAGACTGAATCAATACCCTGCCCTGGGCCAGAGGGTTCGGAAATCAGCCTTCACCGAGCAGGAAATCAGCCCTCACAGAGGGTTACCCTAGCCACAGACCTGGAGCAGAAGCCCCCCCTGCACTGATCCTGAGGGACCATCACAAAGGGGCCATCTCTATTACTACTCCTTCCCTCTTCTTTCACTCCACAGCAAAAGTTGTCCCACCTGCTCCTCTCCTGTAAAGGAGGATTGCCCTGGCAGATCTCATCCCTCCCCTTCCCCAGGCAACAGCTACATGGTGGGAACAGATATTGTCCAGGTGCAGAGGGATTGTTTTACCAAGATCCATCAGAGAGGGTGTGAGAGATGGTGGGGGGTTTCCAAAATGTGGTCACAAGTGCTGAGAGACAGAAGTTACCCTAGAAAAGCCTCCCTCTACCTGTCACTTCAGAGTGGCTGGGTGCTGAGGAGAAGGGAGGGTATCTGCCCTGCTACAAAAGCATACAAGCTACTGCAGGGGTGGGCAATTATTTCAGGCGGAGGGGCGCTTACTGAGTTTTGGCAAGCCATCGAGGGCCGCAAGACAAGCAGCCAGGGGCAGATAAATACTAATTTTCTAAATTTTTTAAAAGCCCCACAGGCCGGATAGAATGGCCTGGTGGGCCGCATTTTGCTGTGCTACAGGCACAGCTGCTAGCACTGATGATGAATGCTTTACCATAGGAGGTGTTTGCGATGAGGGAGGGGCTGAAAGGCCATGAGGGTTAGCAAATTCTCTCTTCTCTCAACCAACACAAAGGGCCGAGGCTACCATAGCAGTAATTGAAAAGTTTTTCTAGTTTAGCATGAGGTTTAAGGTACAGGGTGCTAGTGTTGAGGACTGAACCGGATGCATTTCTTATCATGCTGCTGTTGGCAAGAGGCAGGCTGGGCACCACTATGAAAGGCAAGAGACACTGGCCTAGGCACATCTGTGGCAGGAGTGTGTTACTGCCAAGAAGTGTAGGAGCTGAGCGGTCACCCCCTACCCTGTGTTCTTACAGGAAACACTCAGCATCCCACTAGATCTAGGATCTCCAACATCTTTACTCTCACCACACCCCTGTGAGGCAGGGGGTACAACCACCACCCCCATTTTACATCCAGAGCACTGAGAGACTAAATGACATGATCAAGGTCATACAAGAAGCCTGGGCCAGAGCAAGGATTTGAAGCTAGGTCTACCCACATCCCAGACCAGCATCCTAGGCACCAGAATAGCTTCCCCTCCACCTCACTGCAGGCAAACTGGGAAAGATGGAGAAAAAGAGATCCTAACAAGGAACAAGCACTCTACCATACCACTCATGTGCCAGGAGGAGTGATGGGTTTTGTCTCTTGAGTTTGTAGCCAGATGGAGTGTGGGGCTGTTCAGAAGCGAAAGCAGTACGTATGAGAGACAGAGGAGAGATCTGCAAGGAAGCTGTAGAGTTAGGAGCATGACAGGTGTGTAAAAGCCAAAGGAAGCAGAGTAATAGGAACAGGAATGCAAGGCACTTGTTAGTTAAATGCGGGGACATGCTTTGGGCTGAAATACAGGCTCAGCAGTGTAACGGGGAACCACAGGCTAAAATAACAAAGCAACACAGACAAGTGACTGGGACAGTCATAATGCATCAGGGGTCAGCATCCTCTGCTGGTGAAGCTTCACCCCCCTGGAAGGCCATACTGATCAGAGGAATGGCTTTGTGCAAATAGCCCTTCTCACTCAGCACACCCCCATGGGAACATCATGGCCAGATCTGCCAAGTGTAGGGACCCCATGAAGGGTTTACCTGCTGCCTCTTCCTCTGGGGAGGAGGCCAGAGTTTGCTTTGGCTTGGGCGTCAGTGACAGGGGCACTGACTGTATTCCAAGTGCAGCCTATTAATTAAATGCTTTGTGCTGAACTCCCTCAAGAGCCACATGGGAGAAGTCCAAACTTGAAACCCTGCTGGGTCAAGAGGGAAGTCATGGAGTCCTCCTCCCCAGACAAATTCCCCATTAACTCAGCTTTTCTGTGTATTGAAGAACAAGCAGCCTGGCCAATAACACCTAGTGAACAGTTACTCACATGAATGACCTTACTGATGTGAACAGAGCTATGCGTATCTGAGGGACTTGCAATATGTCTCAGCACAAACCTGAAGGAGTGCCATATGCTGTGAGCCCCAGGCAGGGAACCAGGGGTTTCTCAGTTCAAGTCTCAGTGGTGATACCAATCTTCTGTGTGGCATTAGAGCAGGAGTATGCCTAGGGTCACTGTGGGGGAATTCCTTCCTGCTGCATAGGCCCAGGGAATGCCCCCACAGAATGAAAGGCCTCTCCAACACAGCCAGTGTATCCAGTTGTGCATCCCTGGAACAAAATGACATCTGGGTGGGAGGTGCTGGGGTATTTCATCACCCCAGCTAGCCATTTGGCATGATGATAGGGCAGGGGTGGCCAACGCATGCCACGAGTGTCACAGGCAGCTTGTGTGTGTGACAGGTAGCATACTGGGAAGGGGACAGGCAGCACAGTGGCAGAAGGGGCAGGAAGCAGAAAACAGAGCAGATCGGGTAAGGAAAGGGTAGCGCTTGGGGAGACTTTGGGGCTAGTTTCTGGAATGCCTGGCAAAAAGGTCGGCCCCTGCTTGTCTAGGACAGGGGTTTCCAAAGTTGTGCCCATGAAGGTCCTTTACAGAGGAGCAGTCCTGGGTGGCAGGCTGCCTTAAAGGGCTTTGCACATCACACTTTGGGACCTCTTAGTCTAGAGAGGTTGTTGCAACTCTGGTGTAAATCCCAGCATCCCTGTCCTGCACCAAGGGCCAAGCTAGCCACAAGCCATGTGTGGCATATTGCCTACCCTCTTGGGCTCCACACTAGCCTCAGCACCTGCAAAGCTCATTGCAGCAGTGAGGCAGTGAGGCCTCTGCAGCATTTGGTAGACAGCATTAGGTAGCTCTCTAGAGCACAGCGTGTCCAAGTTGCTGACTAGCATGTGAGAAGTATGGTACAAGGCACAGTCTCTGGCATAGAGATGGCAATTATGTTGTTTCAGGGTCAAGCTTCTGTCCTGAGAAGAAAGTTGAAAGCAGGGTAGATTTCTTTCTCTGAGAAGAAAGTGCAGCAAGTGGTAATCTTGTTCAGGTGGTTTCAGTGATTCTGAAGATGAGTCACAGAGAAGAAAGTCTGCCTGAGGGCACTTGCAAAGGAGGAAGAGGGTCTGAGCAGAGAGCAGGAAAGGAGAAGAAGGGTGTATGGGGGGGAAGAAGGAGACCAGGTGAGAGCTTCTGGAGAATATCCTGATACCCTGTTCCAGCAGAGCCTTGGCTGCAGTCCCTTCCCCCATGTTGGGCATCTACCCAAAGCAGGGATACAACAGTGCAGACTGCCCATAAACCTGGGGACCTGTATCTTGGTATCCCCAGAGGAGCCTCCACAGGGCAATGCCCCTTTTCTGTTAAACAAAGCCTCTCCCTGATGGAAGGCAATGTGGGTGGGAGGGTTAAGTGTAAACAAGCTCTCCCCAGGCACCAGGGAGTGAGAGCGTGCGTGCGTGTGCGTGCGTGTGTGTGTGTATGTGCGCGCACGTGTGCGCACAGGTGATTGGTCGGGGTGCAGGGGGGTGAACGTGCCCCCCGGTGGGGCCAGTGCCCCCCCGACGGCCGACACTCATGCTGTCGGTAGGGCTAGTGTCCCCCCTCCCCCAACAGGGCCACCACCATTGGCGGCTTCTGCAGGTGCCCCCCCCGGATTCAGGAGGCACCAGTCGCACGTGCACATGCGTGCGTGCATGCGTGTGTGTGTGTGTGACCATCCTGCACCTGGGTGGGGTTGCAGACTTGGAAGGAATCATCCACCATTAGCAGGGGATGTTATGATTCCAACACCCATTTCCTCAGGTGCCTGAAGGCTGACTTGCGTGTTTTACTGAGACAGTGTTGGAGGTTTTCAGGACCCAGCTAGACACAGCTTTGGATGGAATGATCTGCTTGGGGATGGTCCTGCTTTGAGCAGCGGTTGAACTAGATGACCTCCTGAGGTCCCTTCCAACCCTAGCTTTCTATGATTCTATGCACACACAGCATTCATGCTTTGTAGCTGTAGGTCTTATCATGGCCAGAAGGGGCTACCTGTCAAGGGTGTATGCCCACTGGGGACAAAACAGGCCTTAAACAGGATTTGAGTGCACCTAAACCAGGACTCTCTTTGGAGGGGTGGAGGCTGATACGGAGGAGATTCTGGGAGTTAATAGAATACTAATAATGCCAGCTTACGTTTATAGCTCCTTTTATCCCAACGAGCTCACAAAGCATGTAAGGGAATCGTGTCACTGAAATGCAGCCACCTGCAGGGTGAGAAAGGGCAGCAGATTCACAGCGCCTGGCAGCACCAAACAATAACTCAGGAGAGTAAAGGAAGACAAATGTCATTTCTGAATAGGAATGCAGGGACTGTGCTTACCATATCAGACCTGGGTCACGACACTGAGGTTCGCAGCCCTACCCACCAATCCTGCCGCACCTCCAGGGTCAGGGAGGTCTCTGAGGCGCTCAGCAGGGCATGCAAAATCTCATGCTTCTTGGTACGGTCACAACTGTCAGGGTCATTTGGGCTGTCGACATCACAACCACAACCATGTGTGTGGCATCCAGTAGTTTTAGAAAATGGGCAGAGAGCTGGGTCCTGCCAAGTCAAGGCACTCTCTCTGATCCTTGAGCCCTCAGTGATGCCAGAGCCCATTTAAAATAGGGGAGAGATGATTGACCTATGAGGTCAATAAGAGATGGACAATGCCAAAGGTATTTTGTTTTCTTACTGAGAGAAAGCAGGCGCATGTGTGTGTGTGTGTGTGTGTGTGTGCATGTGCATGTGCATGTGCACACATGCCACCCCTAGCACTCTGCTAAGGACTAGGTCTGAGGGACAGGCTCACCAACACTGCTGCTTCCCTAAGGTCTGGTCCATCCTACAATGTTTTCTGAACTTAACTAAGTCAGCGAGGTGGAAGGAAAAACCATTCCCCCTAGCTGATGTACCTAGACTGGCAAAACTCCCAATAGTCTGGATGCAGCTAAGCTGGCAGGAAAGGGCTTCTGGTAGCGTAGCTAGTGTTGTCTGAAGAGATGGTACAGCTACGGCAGCAGAAAATCCCTTTCTGCTGCCAAACATGGTGTCTCCACTAGGGGCCTCTGCCAATAACAATACAGGTACAGCTATGGTGGCATCAACCCCATGATGTGTAGACCATCAGCCCTAAGACAGCTGGTCTACTAACTAGCTTGTAGCAAAGAAGTAGCAGCCAAGAATAAATATAATGGGAGTATTGTGTGTCAAGCAGACCCAACTCTCCATGCAAGACAAAGAGCAGGAGAGAAAAGTCACTCCTGCTTGGAATAACAGCCATTCAGCACAGTAGTATTTCCTAGCATATAAAACAATGGCAGCTCCGTACCAAACAGGCATTGCTTTCCAGTAGCTTTTTATTGCCCTAGATCAAGGTTGTCCAACTTCTAAGTGGCCAGAGGCCAAACACCACATGGGCCACACAAGCAGGGGGCCACATGCCCACAAGCCACACCAGGGTGAGCCACAGCCCCTGCCAGGCCGTATACCATGTGGGTGCCCCGCCCCACCCCACCCCACCCACAGTGTACCATGCATCCATGCCCCACCTCCCCACCACTATACCCCACACCCACATGGGCTTTACCTCCCCAGCTGCTGTACCATGTGGCCCCAGTTTCCCCCTCCCCTCCTCCAGCTGCCCTGTGCCATGCTGCACTGTCCTGGTCCCTGGGATAGAGGCAAGCAGTGAAAGTCATAGGAGGGAGGGGAAGTCTGGAGGCTCCAGCTGCTGTTGCAGCCAGAGCAATAGGAGAAGTAGCAGCTGGGCAGGAGCCCAGGAGCAGCAACCTAACCCCACACAGGCTACATATGGCCCATGGGCTGCCAGCTGAACAAGCCTGCCCTAGACAGTCTCTGAAGGAGGACTTTAGCAGGCGATTATACCATACAAACAAAGAGGCCACATGGTTTAAGCAAAGCCTGAAAACCAGGAAAATCTCAGCTCTCCTGCCACTGACAGTGATTCCCCTCTGCGAGGGTGGGAAAATAGCTTCTACGCCTGATTCCCCAACCATAAAAATGGGGCAGGAATGTCCTGCCTATCTCACAGGGCTGTAGTGGGGGGCCTGGGCCTGACCAATTGTAGTGGAAGCTGTGTTGAGCCCTTGGAAAATCAAACTCTAATTGTCCTTGTATGGCCCTCATCATCCCCTGGGAACTTAAAGCTTTGAAGATACAAGGGTACCATAGAAAGGCTACAGGCAATGCTCTTGTCTCCTGGGTGTCATCTTCCTCTGAAATTATTTGAAATTCCCTTTCATCCCTCCCTGTCACAAAAATACCCTGCCAGGCTAGCCAGGCACAGCTATACTTTTGCAGAGGTGTTGGTTCTGCCCTAAAACCAGCTTGTATTCCTAACTAAACTCTCAAACCCAGGCAGCTGACTAATGAGGGAGGGAGCAAGAGCTTGCCAGGGGAGCATTACAAGAGCAAAGCGTGCTTAGCAGAGCCAGATAATGATGTAAGAAGGAGAGTGGAGAGCCGGTACATGGGTCTGGTGGGTGGAAGCTGCCAGGGAAAAGGGAGAATTGGTCAGGAAGGGTGATGTGAGATTCACAGGGCTGTGGAGCTGTCCCTGAAGAGAAGAGGTGGAGTTGTCATCACGTGGATCATTTAGCAAACTGGGCACAGTCCCAGAGAACATGGTGTTACTAGCTGCCTACCCCGACTTGTCTCTCCAGATGCCATGGGTACATGCCCTGTGAGTTTAGAAGGAAGTACTGAAGGGACTTACAGCCACTAAGCTGGCAGGCCATCATTCAGTGACCTCTTAAGTGTCCAATAGATCCAACTCCTCTGTCCTTTCCTTGGACCAGAACTTGCAGCAGAGAAGAGAGGAGGGAACCTGGGGCCAATGCAGAAGCTAAGACCTTGTGGGAAAACCAACTAGTTCCAGGGCTTGGAGCAGAGTAAAGGTTAGAAGAGAAGGGAGGAGCATGAACCAAGGACCTAGGGCAGGGCTGGAGTTTGAAAGCCATCATTAACCCAAGAACTCCCAAAAAGCACTGCATCAAACCATCACCCACGGCTACAGGGAACAGTGTCAGAAACTCTAAGAACACCCCATAACAGAAGCCAGCAACCTTTCACTAGCAGAGAGATGGATTAACACAGCTTGGGCCTAAGGTGGGCCAGAGGGGGCAGTTAGATATTCCACCACTAGACAGCTCATTTTTCTGCAAAACTTAGGCAGGATATATACATTTTCATGCTAACATCAGTTTCTGGTGTGTTTGGTGGGCAGAATAAAATCTCCTCGCAGGTCAGATCTAGCCCGCAGGCTGTAGGTTGCCAATCCTTACTGTATAACATGGCACAGGGAAAAGGCAGGGAGACAAGGGCACTGCCAATACCCAGACACCACAACAACAGGAAAGTAGCTAGTTAATATATACATAGAACATCCCAAGGAAATGACAACGCCCCATGCTACAGAGGGAAGCACATGCCCCGCAGCCCACGCCAACCTGACCTAGAGGAGAAATTCCTTCTTGACCCCATATGTGGTGATCAGTGTGATCCTGAGCAGAGAAGCGAGATTCTCCAGGCTCTGGGTTTCCAGTATAGGCAGAAATACAAGTACACCTCAGTCAAACTTCCCCAGACTTAGCCAAGACCAATAGCCAAGTACTTAAGAGGAAGAGGCACTAGGGGGATAATGCTGAGAGCACCGACTACTTATCATACCAGGACGGCAATAATATCAGGCAGGCCAAATGAATAGGAAGCCTCGGTGCAATCTCTAAGACAAGCAGAAACTGGATGTCTGAGGCACATGACAGAGATGCCAAGGATGGCTCATCAGCTGGGAGAGAGGGAGGGGGGAAAAAAAGCAGAAGTTTATGAAGTAGAAATAACCAGTTTAGAAAAGCCACAAGAAGTTACAGCTCATGAGCTGGAAAGAGGGAGAGCAAAAAATGTCTGTTCCCAAGTCATCAAATCACTGAAGTCCAAAGGGCTGGATCCTGCAAGGTGCTGAGAGCTTTCTGCAAAGGACCCAGCATCCTCAGCATCCACTGGCTCCCACAGAATCTGAAGGCACTCAGCGCCCATCCAGATCTGGGCCTAAATGTTGGCTTAGGACTGCAGGAGGGGACATCAAGTGGAAACCATATGCCGCTACAAAATTAATGAGAACAAAGTCCCTGCCATTGCCTACGGAACGGAGCAGCACAACTCAAACCAGATGGAAACTGAACATAAAGGCTGCTAAAAACAGGGAGCTGAAATCCCCAAATGACTGGCTTAGTGCTGGGGAACGGACTTCTTAAGAGGGAACTGTAAACATAAAAGAGAACTAATAAAAACTCAGGCCAATGCAGCACATGCACATGTGAAACAGCAGCACTAAATGACTGGATGGATTCTTACAGCAAGCCATGGGGGAAAGAACAGAGCCTGTGCTGCACACACCAGGGGAGCCCTCCAGAAACAACCACCTCATTAGAGCACCTCAGAGGGAGACCTTGATGGCATGCAGCAACCTCTGCATTCACTGAAAGTGGTGCAGGGAGGTGTGAATTACATCCCCACTGCTCTCCTGGGAACAGCCTTGGCCTCTCTCTGGGTTTCTGCCAGGGCAGGACAGCTTTCAAATCCATCAGCAGGAGCACTGCCCAAGAGCCTATTGCCATTTGCTTCTTGGGTGTTGCTGTTCCATGGCAGCCCTCTGGTAGAAAGGGAAGCGAAGATGCTTTGGGGCATGGACAGATGCCACATTTATCCCAGTGTAACCCAGGGAAAACAGCCCATGGAGTCTTCTGAAGTGCCTGCTTACACTAGGTTACTATTCCAGTGCCTCACTGCCAGGTGATGGGGCAGTAGGTAATGGCCTGTTTGCACTGAAATCAGACAGACAACACCTATTTCAGTGCATTTGGACTAGGGATATTTCCCAGGGTAACCTTTCCCCCAGATTCAGGGAACTTACCTGGTCCACCCTTGTTTACACCAGTGCAAATGCTGATTACGCTGATTTAAATATGTCACCTGTCCATGCCCTTGTATTCCTCCCACCAGTACACTTTCTGCCACGTCACTCTTGCACTGGTAGAAACTATCCTACGCCCTTGGCGGGATCTGGCCTTGCAGCTACAAGTGCTTCTTATGAGAAAGAAGCCACTACAAGCCCTCTGAACGCTGAGGCGGATGCTTTGCTTCTACTGCATTCAAGCTCCTAAAAGGAAAACACTCATTCCCAAGAAGGGGAGGGGAGGGAAGAGTACAAAGAGTATTACACATTAAATGCCTGAGCACAGATTGAGCCAGACAAATTTTATCAAATCCCAAGTGGAGCAGCCTAAAACATATTGCTGTTCACCTGGGAACAAACTCGCAAGCCTGGAGATCTGATAAAAGCAGTGAAGGGAAGGGTGACACTAAACACAAGACAGTTCCCATCACTGCAGAGATAGCTTATCTCTACTGTCAAGATAGGACATGCATCACTGTCTCATGTACAACAGCGAGCAAGAGCGAGTGGAGACCTGTTCTCTAGCGTAGCACATTATTACAACATAATCCCTGAGGGACAGCTCTATTACCTACTACATCTCATTAGTACCAGGGTGAGAATATTCCCTAAACAGCTCTGAGACACCATATGGAGAGACACCTCCCTGCGGTTCCAGCCACATAATAACTAAAACTCTCAGCCATTTCATCTGGACACAGAGCCAAATAGCAGCCTACGACCTTGCTGCAGTAACAGAATATGGTGTTTAAAAAGAATGAACACTGCACAAAACAAAGAGCAGGGTATTGGAGGGCAATGTTTTTTACCCAAATCAGGGGGAGGAAAGGGCTGTTCCCACTACTGTTGGCAGAGGAAGGGGAGCTGTGTTGCTCTTCAGCACACACCCCAGTCACTTTAACCCCAGTTTGGGCTCTCTGAATGAGAGATCCAGGTAGAGGAAGCAGCAAAGCAGAAGCTGAAGGGAGTGAAGGTGTTGGGAAAGGTACCATTTGCTCAGGGGCTACTCACTGTCTGCTGCTTGGGGCACAGATCAACACCTTGTTGCTGGCCTATAACTAGGGTTCCTGGGTCATAGCATACTGATGATGGTGGCAGTGGGAAATATGTGGTCTGAGATCCAGAAGACAATAGTTTCACGTATAAGTGCAGTACACTGTAACTGAGACAACTGTGGGTTAAACCTCGCACAGGGGTGAAATAACACTGTGCTACAGCCTACCACAGTCAGTGGAGCTACAGTGATGAACACTGGCTGAAGATTCAGCCTAATGTTTGCACCTGATGATCATTTCTTTAATTGGTCAGATTATCCCTCTGGCAGAGGGCATCAACTGAAATGGGATCAGCCCTGGAGTCACTCAAGATAGTCCCCCATACCACCTCCCCACTACTAAATGGCCCGCTCCCCCACCCATATGCATAGTGAGCCTGCAACATAAGGCAGGTGGAATCAAGACCCTTGTGTCATAGGCTGCATGACAGCAACTGAAGGGATGGCTCAATTCTCCAAAGGCAGTGGGCAGAGGGAAGCAATGGCTTGGTGGCCCTGCCTCCTGTCAGGTTTCTTTGCTTTCTTTGTCTCCCCAACTCCCACATCTCTTGCTTCTCCAACTACTGAGCTGTCTCCCCTTCAGTGCATGGTCAGATCCCCACTGTCTCATGCAAGGGCAATGCAGGTGGTAACTAGAAGGACAAGGGACCACAAAGCAGCCAAGACTGATACAGCTGGCAGCCATGGCATAGCCTCTTCCTGCTGTTTAATACCCCTGACTTAACCCAACACTAAGGGAACCTTGGGCAGTGCAGGCCAAACCAGGCTTGTGAGCAGGGTAGGCTTCCCAGCTGGAGCCAAGGACTGCCAATCAAGATGTCCAGCAGCTAAACCTATAATGGAGACACAGCTGAGACAGTGTGTGACTCTGTATTCAACCACCAAGAGCATCTGGAGGGAACTCCTAACATATTCCTAAGCTCCCTTTTTACAGGGAGGCTGCAGACAGCTGACTTTCTGAGCACCCTGGACAGGTGCTGGAGTGAACATCCCTCCCTGAAGCTCTGTTTTCCCACATGTTACCACTGCCAGAACCCATCGATGTATGTACATGCCACCCAGGCCTGAGGACTGGCTGGTCTCAGGCTTCCCACACTGTTCCATAGTCCATGCCTTGGAGACTGTCTTCTCTGCAGTAGACATCTCTGATTTCCTGGAAACATGCCCTCCCAATAGGAACTCCCCCTTCTCCCCATCATTCCTCAAAGCAAAAATAACCATCAATCAATACAATCAATGGACGCAACTGCTCTGATGCTGCCCCACTCTCTTTGATAACTTCTTCCCCCTTCTGACAGTGGCAGAGCTGAAAGCCATAAGGATCATAGGCCCAAGTGGGGCCTCCTGGGCTATGGAGCCCAGAACACTGTGGTTACAGGCAACCGTTTGTCCAAGGGATGTCTACTCCTGTCCTTCACTCAAAGATCCCATGAAAAACGACCTACAATGTGCCACAGCTAAAGAGCATGGGAAACAAAGCTACTGCCAACGCCTTGGGCCACTCCATTGACAGGGTGTTTGTGGGGTAATCTATGCTCAGATCAGCAGCAAAACTGAAGGCAGGGCAACCAGGGAAGCCACCCCAGGTGCTGTCTTTGGGGGAGTGGGTTGCAAAAATAGCCACTGCTGCAGTGGTGGCTGACCACGCTGTCACCATCGGCCCCATCACAACTGGCACTACCCCATGCATCAAGGCTGCATCAGGCACAGAGCTGCCCTGCTAGCCCTCTGGCTCAGATGATCCAAAGAAAAGGAACGCAAAAAAATTCCCAATGGACCCAGCTGATCTGATATAGGGGAAAACTCCTTCCTGACCATTGGTTTGACCCTGAATGCATGAGCATGAAACCTCACAGGTACCTGGCTGGTGGGGCTAAAGGCCCTTAAGGAGCACCAGCCCCCACCCTGTCAGGAGCCTCCTGATTTTCAACCCTGACCCCATTTACCTTTGCAAAAGCCTCCCATTGCATTTTCTATCTGCAGTGGGTGCTTTGCTGCCAAGGCATTTGTTCCACTCCAGGGCTCCTGCTTTACCACTTGCTGCATGCTTTGGTGACTTGAGTCCAACTTCACCTTGCAGAATCAGGGCTTGCCTTTATACAGGGTTTCTGCCCTTCAGAGGACACTCCTTTAGCTCTAATAAATTTGGGCCCTGATTCCCTTGACCAGCCAGACTGTTACTCTCCTCATTTCATTTCTGCGTTACCAACATAACCATTCCTGCCTCTCAGGCAGTCTTAAACTGTCCCCAGGCTGAATCTGTGAGCTGGATTTTCACCAGGTTTGCATGCTGCCCCCTGACCCTGCTACTGGGTCTATTTCTCACAGGATGAGGTCTCCCCTGTTAAAGCACCTGCCCAGTGCACTACCCTCTATAGGGCTCACTCCATATACTGACAAATCTAAGCAGCCCCTATGCCCAAACTTTCCCTCACACACAGGGCTGAGAGGCAGGCTTAAGGGAGAGCACTGCAAAGGTGCCTTTAAAGCCACTAGGCCATGCCTTGAGTGCATACATGGCTTGATGGAAAGATTTGTACACAGGAGCAAGGAAACTGCTGATGCTCACTTTCAAATGCCCATGGCATTTGCTTTCGTGCTTCCCTGTCTCTCTGGCCCACTTGTTACTCAACAATGACAAAAATCAGTTGAGAGAGTTCTAATCCATCATGATTTCAAAGCAACTTGAGCCAGGAACTGCAATCATCCCCATTTAACAGAGGGTGAAACTGAGGCACTGAGAGGCACAGCTGACTCACTCAAAGTTGCTGGAAGGGCAGGGCTCAAACCCAGGTGTCCTGACCCCCAGTCCAGTGCCCTAGTCACACACTAACTGCAAGCTAGCATGGCTGTAGTATGGTTTCAGATGTAGTATGCAGAGGCTATAGTACGCAGAGGAAATTAAGAATGAAAGATGTGAAAGAAAACAAGTTTGGGCATGCTCTGCTCTATACATTGGTCACCAGTGAAGCACTGCACACTAACAGAAAACCGAAACTCCCATTAGACAAGAGCAGAAAGCACCTGAAACTTCCCAAGAATCCATCACTGGCTCTGTAACATCACTCCCCAACACACATGTGGGCACACACACACAGGCACACACATCCAGCCAAAGCACACACAACTTTTCCGAAAGCGAGGGGACAGCCAAGGTCAGGGAGCAGTGTGGTCTCCAGTCCAAATGATGCATGGACAGAGGTGATGTCAGGAGAAGAGATGCTGGCCCAGTGTCAAGGGAAAGTAGCAGAAGCAACTCAGCCAAAAATCCAGGAACTGCCTGCTGCAGTCAGCAAAAGTCAGCAAACGAGCAGAAAGAACAAAGACGCCGCAATACGGACTCTGGGGAGGGGAAACACCGACAGCATCCTGCTTTGCCAAGCAAAGCCAACCTGAGTGGAGAAGGGTCTACCCCAAGGACTAACTTCAGAAACCCTGCGCACAGCACAGAGGGAAGCCTGAGAGGGCACAACCAAGATGGTGACCAGTGATGCTGCACAGGGTGCACATACACACCCACACACGCGCTATTCCACACTAAAAGAGCACAGGGGGAGGGGGCACTGACTGATTCAAGAGGAATTAGACAGGCAGATCATTGCTTTTAGCTAAGATGCCCCTTTTTCATCTGGTCTCTGCAGGAAGCTGAGAGAATTCCACATATTGAATTCAGCATGTTGCAATTCAGCTGTACAAGAAGGGTGATAAATGCTGGCATCTCCCGCCTTCCACCACTGCTCTCTGGTGGACAGAACATGGAAGATCTGCCCAAGCATATACCAGGCCCTGCAGTAGCCTTAGCTCTGAAGTATGAACTTTCTACTGCTCTAATTACATGGTGACCAAGCCACAGAGGCCTCTAAAGTGTGTGTGTTGGGACACACCTCTCTCTAACAACTGCAACCAAAAAGAATAAGTCATCATACTATTCCATTAGAGCCAATGTTTTACAGGCTCTAGTAAAACTTGCTAATGCAAGATTTTTTTTTGCAAAAATCTTGTTGGTCTAATAAAAGCTATCATCTCTACTACAAGTCCTGAATGCTGATATGGAGCTTTTCACCTCAGCAGCAGAGCAGCTCTAGCCCAGAACAGCATTGGCTGAAAGTTACAGCTGTCCTGATTGCTTAGGAAAAATGGGCTGAGAGGAGGGAGTCAGGATTTTGTCTTTCTTCCCTAACATCACATAAACCACCACTGTAAGTCTGAAGAGATTAGCTCCATTTCTTGACAGGTAACTGAGTTATCTTCATTTTTAAGTATGGCCGGGGTCCCACAGAATGAACTTTACAAGCTGCAGCCAAAGACCTAATGAGGATAGGTACTGTACTGCATTGAGTTTGGAGGAAAGTTTGGAGGAAAGAAGAGAAAGCATGCGCTGGGATGCCTCAAATGTCAGTGTACTGTCTGGATTCATTTGGTCTTCCCTAGTTCAGTTTGCACGTGCTACTATACTGGGCAGAGCTGTAAGCACTAGTGAGGACAGGAAAATAATATAAAGGCAGAAAGAGACAAGAAATGTGAGCAGAGGTGTTGCAAGCAGGACAATACAAACCTGCGTCTTGGAGGAATAAACCAGCGTGAGCTTTAATGGGAAAGGAGACACTTGAGAAAAGCAGTAATGCTCAAAGACAGCCAGAGGCGTTAAATAGCAAGTCAGACAGATGCCTGAAATGCTGCGATGCACACATTGAAACGGTATCAGCAAACTTGAGCTGCCTGCACAGGGTACATCTGCAGCGCACACTGCAGTGGCGTGCAGATGCCCACACTAGCTGTGAGATAGCTCAGGCACCAGGAGAAGTTTAGCTACCACTGCACAGAGCTGAGAAACCAGGTGAATTAGCCTCACACTGAGCTCCCAGACACTGATGCTAGGCTGCTATTAGTATCTGAGCTAACTTGGGTAGCTCAGCTCTATACTGCAGCATAGAAGCTCACCATCCCAACATGGAGCAGGGAGAGGGTACAGGTGCTCTATAGCTCTCTGAGGTGACTAAGTGATGAGTTTCGTGTTGGGAGGACTCAGTACCATAAAGGTGTCATGGACTTTCAGAAAAAGAAGAGGTGTAAGGAAAAAACTTGGAGGAAACCAGCTCATAAATATTTTAATAAGTTATAGTGTACCTGAACACACCTGGAGGGAGGACAAAGCCTATGTCTACAGGCTTTATGAGGGGCGCATAACAAGGGAGAAGATCCCACAAGATATAATGGAGCCAGGGGTAAAATTAAAAGGAAAATTAAGGTGCAAAATCAAGAAATATTTCTTAGTAGCAAGACAGAGAAGTCTTTTTTCACTGCTAGAGGCACTGAGATCAGTTTGACCAAGCATGGGAACAACCTATGATGGGCAGTAGGTGAGACAGACTGAGATCTGGCCATGCCATTCCCATCTCTGACAATTCTGCACCCAGTTCCACAAGCACTTGGCAAGCTACTTTGCCCATGCTTGCCACTAAAAGGGCTCCCATGAATATTTCTGTGGTTAGACTCTGAATGACTGATAGACCCTACAGAAGGAAGTCTTTGCACTGCGTGTGCAGGGGCCAGGAGAGGGGGCTTCCAGCCAGGGCATATGAGACAGCAGGGCCCCTGTCCATGCGGTGCAGTATCAGCTCCACCCCAAGTAGAGGACTTCAGTCTCCAAGGTTGTCAAATTGGCACCTTTCACTAGCACTAAATTAAAAAAAACAAAACTGTGTGGAGAACACATAATGTTCCCTCCAAGACCACTAGAGCACAGAAAAGACAAGCAATGCTTATTAAGTGTCATAATTAGAGCCAGGCTGGATTACTGAAGCAGTAAGGAGAAAGAGGACAAATTGAATTTAAATACCTAAAGATCTTAGTTTTTTTAGGATCCCCCCTTCTCCCTCACCCCCCCCCCCCAGCAGCTGTTTAAACAAGAAGAAAGAATGTTCCAAACTAAAAGAAAAAAAATAAAGGATTTTGGCTTAACAGTGTTTCCAGCCACTGTAAAAGAGGAGACGGGATGGAAAAGTAGCTCACATTCTGGTATTTAAATTTTTTAATTGTCACGTCCCACACAGAGCTCTCACTCTGTACAACAGAGTAAACGCATGAGGAACACAGGATTCAAAGAGAAAAGGTAGAAAACAATCATCTAAAGAGTTTATAAGTAACACCCCGAAGTACTAAAATGAAAGCCAAGGAAATCTCCTTGCTGAAGTAGGAGTGGAAAATAAAACCATCCCCTTTTCATTCTGCTTTCTTTACATAGTTGACAGCCCCTCGTGGACAGCTGGCTTTACAACCAATTGTCAGTTTAACTTGCTATCCGTGTGGGTTTACTATTGCAACGGGGAGAGAACTGTTTAGAAAAAGAGGGAAATGCAATCAGAGAGGCAGTTTGCTGGGGGCTGCAGGCAAGGCTGGGCTTTGGAATTAATGCTAACTTGTTTTACGCTGATTAGATTTCAATTGGATGTTCCTTTAAGGTTCCAGCAGCATCTGGGACTCAGTCCCATGCACGTATATTACAGGAGATGTCATTTTATAGCCCTGTAGATGGTGTGAACTTTTAATGCTGTAACAGACTGGCTCGGCATCGCCAAGCTGGCATTACTCAAAGGCCTTCCCTTCCTCTTGGTTAGTTCAGCTCACACCTGCAGCACTGCGGATATCCAGCACTAAACCAACCCAGCTGGCATTATGGTGCCCAAGGGAGAAGGTGAGAGGGCATCAGCTCCAGCAGTGGCTCTCAGCATTTTTAGACTTAGGGCACCCCTCAAGATACGGCAGCTCTGAGCTTTCACTGACTTTTTGAGTGCTGCAGAGAACTCCGAAAGCCCACAGCACAGCTTTGACGGATTCCTATATGGAAATCTCTGGGCTTGTCTAGTGACACTTTCTGCTGGTCTTTTCACAGCATCTGATCAAGTGAGCTGCAGCATGTTTGTGATCGATCGATCGATCTTTGATTAGTCTTTAAGGTTAGTCTGCTTTGGTTAGTCTCCAAAAGATACAACTCTACCCTGCCCTCTACTTATGCTGTGAATCACTGCAGTGCACACCCAGCAGTGCTGGTGTTGGACAGATCCCTTTAAAAGACCTCAGGACACCCCTGGGTGAGGATCCGTGGGCTACAGGGTCCTACTGGCCAGCTGCCTTCCTCGGGACGCTGTAACATGGGCGCTGCCACCCAGAAGACACGCAGCGCAGGGGAGGGAGCGAAGAAACGGTTCCTGTGGCTGCAGCGCTCGAGAGAGGGACAGTGACGCCAGCGATTCCCATTGGAACTCTCGCGAGACTCGCATTAAACAGCCACAATCCGCGACATCCCCTCCCAAACGCCCCGCCCGACCTGCGCATGCGCCGGCGGCCTTTAACCGCCCCCGAGGTCATGTGCCAGGGAAAGCTGGGCTAGTCCCGCCCCGCCTGTTTCTATTAGGGCGCGTAGGGACAGTGGCACCTGAGAGCCTAGCAGCACCCTAAACGCCCTCTTAAAGGACGTCTGGAGACGGAAGTGCCCTTTCCTCTTGAGTCGTTCGTCACCGGAAGTGGCTCAATTGAAAAGCCAGCCCCTTGCCACCCCCCCCAAACCTGGATCAAAAGTCTTCCCCGGAAGTCGGCCTCCCTTGGCGCTATTTCCGGCGCTCTAGGGCGAGCGCGTGGGTTCTATGGTTCTTCCGTTGCGCCTCTAGTTTCGAGCCGCGAAACTTTCCGCTGAACTCGCTGGTTTTCCGGCGACACTCTAGGGCGCAGGAGAGCGGCCGACGCTCTAGCCGTTTCCTGCGGCCCAACTTCCGGCGCTCTATGGTGCTCGGGGCGGCTCTCTAGTTGGTGGCGGGCGCGCTCTATGGCCCCGCCTCGGGCTCACGAGACTTTCTCCCCCCTCCCCACCCCCCCGCAGACCAGGCCACCAACCCGCTGAACAAGAGCCTGGACTGGGACGGCATCGACGCCTTCTGTCAGCAGCTCAACAAGGAGCCGGATGGGTGAGCACCTGCCTGGGCACTGCCACCTGCGTACACGCGCACTTGCACGCCCATGTCTGTATACGTGCCCGTGGGCATGCATGCACCTGCGTGTGTGTGGGTGCAGACACATATATACACACATCTGCACCTACATGCCTGTGCAGACCTGGGCCTTGAAGGATCCCTGCGTCTGTGCCAGGCCGAGGCCTCTGAGCCATCGGGGAGATGCCGGCACTACAGGCCTGGGAGCTGTGCGGTGGAGGTGCAGGGGTGTCCTGTGGCCCAGCGGCTGCAGGAGCTCCCCGGGCCTGGACGTGTCCCTGCGGTGATGGGATGGCCATGCCCTGCTGCACTGACTGGCCCCTCAGTCCCAGTATCCCCCCTTCTTCAGCCTGTGGAGCAGTGTTTCTCTGGGCTGTAAAGCCAGGGTTGGGGGTGTGGCAGGGGAGGTGCTGCGGCAAGGGCCGGACAGCAGAGAGAAGCAGCAGCTGGTAGGAAGTGCTGGCCCATCCCTGAGCAAGTAGCGGCATTTATTTCAGCGCTCTTTCCCCCACCCTCTTGCTGCTGAAGGCCACTGCCCTCTGCTCCAGTCCAGCACAGAGATCACCCTTCTTTCTGCTCCTTGCGGCTCTGTAGCATCTTGCTCATGCACGTGTGCAGTCACGTAGGCTCCACCTCAGAGGCAGACGCGTTCACGCTGCAGCAAAGGACTCTTGGAGAGTTTGGAAGAAGCATCAATTTTCCTGTGGGGCTGGCGAAGCTCCAGTGATGTGTTAATGAAGTTGCCATGAGCTGTAGAAACTAGGGGGGTGGGGGCGGGACAGGGCAAAAGGCACGTGGATTCATGGGCAAAAAGTGTTCCCTTTCTGGAAAGCCCTTCTCCCATAACCACTTTGCTTTGTTCCCTCCCAGCCCCCCACTTGCTACCCGGCTTCTAGCTCACAAGATCCAATCCCCGCAGGAGTGGGAAGCCATCCAGGCCCTGACGGTAAGAGGGAAGATCTCCAAACTGGAAGGGCTGGGCGGTGGGGGAGCGCCCCAGGGCTGCCTGGGGAGAAAGGGCTTAGGACTCCAGTGCGTTCCTCTGTGGGTTGGACAAAGCCCAGACTTGCTCTGGGCTCCCTCACCCGACTCAGAGGCTGGTCCAAAGTCTTTTGAAGTCTGTGGGAGTCTTTCTGTTGACATCTCTGGGCATTGGGTCATTGCCCTACTAGGTGAAGGCTCTATGTGTGTCTAATGGATTCCCCCACGACACAGACTGAGACACGTACCCCCCAGGATGTGCTGGGGATTCCTGAGCACTGGAAGCGGTAGAGGCAGAGGGACGGCCAATGGATTAGTCTGGACAGGCCCTGCATACAGTTTCTCTTAATATTCGCTCTTCATTACTGTGAGAGGACACTGGGCCATGTGGACCTGTGGTCTGATGACACTGTGACATCTCTTATGTTTGTATTCACTGTATGCCCTTGTAGGGCTGGGCGGTGACAGTTCCACCAGCTCTTTCTCCCCTATCACAGTCTGTTGCATTTCAGGCATGTACCCAAGTCGTGTTGCTTCCTCTGCTCCCTCTGTGATGGCAAGCTTGGGGAGGAGATTCCCTCCTGTCTTATCAGAAGTGGGGGTGGCCACAGCAGGCAAACTAGGGGTTCCTGGACCGGGTTCAGAGCCTGATTTTCCTCTACCTCATGCAGGCATTTCCTGCTAGGGTGGGGGGTGGATTTGTTTCCTCAGCGTGCTGACCCCCAACTTGGGCTCGGCCTCTGCCTTCCCTCTCAGGTGCTGGAGACCTGCATGAAGAACTGTGGCAAGCGCTTCCATGATGAGGTGGGCAAGTTCCGCTTCCTCAACGAGCTCATCAAGGTGGTGTCCCCCAAGGTGGGTCCAGCACTGATGGGCCTGAGGGGAGGAAGTGAGCTAACCCTCAGGCAAGGAGGCCGAGCTTCATGGGCTAAAGCAAAGGTAGCACCAGAAGGTGTGTGGCCTTGTGGGTGGGAAATCCTCCATGAGCTGCTACAGTATGGGGTGAGGACTTGCCTTCCATTCCTCCTTGAGGGCTGTTTCCAGCTTGTGAGTGGCCCAGAGGCAGGCTGGCTGAGGAGGAGTCATATCTGGGAGCAGGTGGCTTGAGTTGGTTCCTAGTGTTTCTGCCTGCTCACTGACTGCCACTGCTGTCCTCTGGTTTGGGGGCTGGGTAACATCCCTGTATCCATGGTAAGGCGGAGAGCATCTCCAGTATTTCATGTCAGGGTGACATCTGCCTCCACTGCCCTGAACTACAATGAGAAGGAGTACAGCCAAGCGCCAGGAAGCAGGAGTGTACCTGCGGGTGGTGCCCTGCTTCCCCCCCCCCCAGCTAAAGACTACCAGCTAAAGACTATGGGGTGGAGCCAGCATGGTCCCCTCCCACAGGTCTTTATCACAGCAAGCACAGCCCGGCCAAAGGAAGTCCCATAGTGTGTCTGTGGGGGAGGGGGACGAGCAAAGCAAGTGGACGGTGCTCCCCGGGCCCCCCCGCAAGGCTGTGCCATAGTGTCTCTGGGAGGGGGGAAGGGAGCAAATGGGCCTCAGCTGCAGCCCCTGAAAAGCCCATGTCACTGGGCTGCTGAATCGGAGTACAGGCAGTCTTCGCACTTACAGCGGGTTTTGTTCCTGGAAAAGGCCCTGTAAGTCGAAATGAATTAAATCGAATCTGATTTTTCCCATAGAAACAATATTATAATAGGGTGTTATGTTCCTGACCAAGGGTCTGATGCCCAACTTTTTATAGAAATGCCCATAAACACCATATTTAATCAACTTTAAATGATATACAGTGTACAGCTTTCTAAAGTGTACTATATATAAATCGATTTAAATAGGGCAATACAGTAACTAATCACATAAAATTCTGTTTAATTAGAAGGTGAAGGAACGCCTTCACCAGGGTCATGGAATTCAGAAGGGCTTCTTTGGGGAGATTTTGGGGAGACTTAGGGCCACTTGATGGCCTTTTGAGAAACTGATCCAGGGATGTTTGTTTTGCTGCCCTCTTTTTCTCATTGTAAATTTCCCTGTAGTGCCTAAGTGCAAGGATCCAGCGCCGTAAGTAATAACATGGGTATAAATGGCAGAGTGCCACAAATGCAAATCGCCATAAGTCGAAACGCCATAAGTCGAGGACTGCCTGTACAGCAAGTCTGCCCCTTATCTGCAGTAGCTGTAGCAGCTGCTGCCCAAGTGCAGGGAGCAGGGGCAGGGATGATTCTGTTCCCCGTCCTGTGCACTGCTCCTGCCCTCCAGTGGTCAGCATAATTCCCCCCACCTCTGCCCCTGGTGCTGACAGATCTCCCCCCACCGCTGTCAGGAAGTGCTCCCCCTTGGGTTGGTACAGTAAGAGCGCCCCTCCTGGCCACTGCTCCTTGAATTGTTGCCCTGCTGCACCTGAAGGAAATGGATTCCCAAGGGGTGCTCGG